CCCTTTTTGAAACTATAAGGACGGATGTTGGGGAATTTAAAATCAGGCTGTTGCGGAAGCTCTCTTGAAAGATTTTCAAATCGATGATTTTCGGACTCAGTCCAACGTATATTTCTCTACCAACAACCAATCAAATCGGCTCCAAACCACAACCAATCTAGTTCACCTCGATTGCTATTCAATCTTACCACGCAGGACAAGAAAAAATGATGATTTGTAGCCACAATGGCTAGGAGAAAACGCCACAAAGGCTAGGAGAAGTCACCACAAAGGTATATTATGAAGGAACCACCAATTGCACACGATAAACAAGCGTTTTGGACATTTCTAGAGACTATTTTTCACACACCAAAGGGGGCAACCGGGATTCCAATTTTTATCACACAAAACCTCACAAAAGATTGCAAGAAAGTGGTTAAGGTTATAGCCATATATATACTATAGGGTTAGGCTTTAAGTTTGACCATTAAAAAGGTAAACGGGTCAAGATTCAAACCATTCAAGAATGAATACAATTGGGTCAGGTGTAGCTCATGGACTTGGTTATTGGACTTATTTCATTCATCGATCTATGCCTATAAAATAATATTAACCTGCGTTAACATCATTGCCCGGGATTTATTGGGTATCAAAATTCCAACATAGGCATATTAACATGAATCATTATGCAAAATCAACATATGAGCACGAGGAATCAAATACAAGCATACCTCAAATTTTACAATCCCCACCAGAAATAGTAGAAGAACTTCTGCGAAAAATTTGTTAATTCCACAACTCGAGACTAAATAGCATCCAGGAATATCCCAAAATCAAAAAGTGTCTTATTTGCATTCTCTATGGGACAAGCTTCATTCAAAAAAATTTTATATACAGTATGATCGCCCTCACAATACAATAAAGCATGTCTACAGGCAAATTGATTCCCACAAGCATTCTGCCAGCAGGTAGTTTCACATTCTATTGAAAAGAAGTACCAAAAGGCTCCAAGTACCTAAACGAGTGGCAAAAGCATAATGATAAAGAAATATTGACAATATGAACCATCTCTTCAAGCAGATTGACTCCCATAAGCTTTTTCCAGCAAGTAGTTTCACAACTTTTAGGAAAATAAGTTTAAAAAAAAAAAAGACACCAAATACCTATAAGAGGGGCAAAAAAATCAAGTGATCAAAGAGATCAATAAGAGGTACGTACTAAATGTACAACTGTTTCAATTTTACCATTGAGATTTTTAATTATAGAATTACTGATGCAGGGTGAATAAATCAATAATAAGAATAACAACAAAAGATGAGGGGAGGGAGAAACACAGAGACAGGGGGCAGAAGAAGAGGGGAAAGAACGAGAGCTGTAGCCAATTTTATTCAATCAATTCATTAACTGCCAATTGCAATGTAAAAATAGGTTTAACTACTGAAAATACTGAAAACCTAAAAAAACCTGAAAGATAGGGCCAAGCCCATTACACAAGTCCGTAAAATAAAATAATCCAAGTCCAACTAAGAAATAAAAATCCAACTAAAATAATGAAATGTCGTCCAACTAAAATAATGAATCTGGGATGTCCTCATCAATTACACTCCCAGTCAGCTATCTAGGAAGAACAGTGCAGCAAGAATGTCAATCACTATCTTGCCAGACAACAAGCTTCACACACCAACCCAATGTTTTCCCCTTCCTAAGATTCATTCGTAGATCCCATATTTTTCCACCCTCAAGATTCACCCTTAGACTCACACCCTGTCCCACCCCTAAGATTCTCCACATGATCCAATCTTGTCCCCTCTTGTCAGCCAAAATTAAAGCATCCACCCCCTGTTTGAAGCTAAATACACATAATTAATACAGCCATTACAAGCACATGTCATATTAGATAATATTTATACATGTGACAGAAGAACTAAAAGTTCGGGAGAGGGAAACGACCCTAAACTATCAAACTTAACCTTGTAAACCATTTCCCTCTGTGGTGATGTGGTAAACTTACATAATTCGCACAGGTTCACAACAAGTTTAGCTTATCCATGTACCACGTCCAAAACCTGAGGCGACCATCCATGCTTGGTCCATTCTCCATTTAGTGCTTGTTTGGCACCTACTTAAATTAAATTATAATTTAAGCTGATAAACATACTTTTTATCCACGCATCTCGAGGAAATCACAATCATTACCCATTTATTATCCAAACATTTTCGTTGGACACACAATCTAGAAGCACTTAAAGCACTACCAAATATACTTAGTAGCACCATACCCACCCTATTAAGGGCAGGCCTACATGTTGCTTGCTTGAAAAATCAATTGTGAAAAACAATCTTAATCCAAACAAAATAAAGGAATACAAAATCCCAAGGTCCCAAGTCAAATATGAAAATAGTATCTAGTCAAGCTTGAAGGTTGCCCAACATCAAAATGAAAATAGCATGGCATGTAATTCAGTAAAAAAGTGCATTTGAAACTTTATCACAAAACTTACATGACTTGCAAGCGTGTAAAGAAAAAGACTGAAGGCAACTCCAACCCATGCTATTTAGATGAGTATGCCAGAAGTCCTAGTGACTTCTTTATACAAAGGATAGACACAAAGAACCCTTGGTACATACTGGAAGAATACCACAAATTTTAACAAATTCTTCGTATCCAACGATCTCAAACCTTTCAATTTAGGAATGATAATCCAAATAACCACCTGGGAAAATTACAAAATTGATCAGTAAGGCAACATTCACAGTGTGAATTAATTTCAACTAATCAGATGTGCAGTACAAAATTTCTATAGTAATCTACAAGGTAAGCATCTTGCTCTTGGAAGAAACAGAACAGATGGAGTTACAGATGCAATAGCTTATAACCTTAATAAAAATTCTTACAGTAAAAAGATCCTCATCAGCTGAAGATCAATGACAAACACCATTTTCCTTGTTGAGGTATAAAATTTCGCTCATAAAAATATTCAATACTGAAGGTCCACGACCGGAAATATCCAATTATAAATCCACGTGTATGCAAGTGAGTTCTCACACTTAAAAAGGGTAAAAAACAAGTTTCATTCATTCCAACATCGCAAGACTTAAGTTCCATGCAGAATAAACTTTGTATAACCCTTCTTGCAATGGAAATTACGAATTCAGATACCACTATGCTGAAGGAAAAGCCTCTGTTACCTGTGGCAGCGAAAGCACTGCAAGAATATCAACTAGGAAGTAAGAGGACAGATATCTCTTTGCTATTTTCCAAGAATCTTTGACTAGAACACCTCTTCCAAATACTCGCGAAGAAAGGGCGATAAAACCAGTATGGAACTGAAAGATAATATGAATAAGGTAAATGATATCAGTGAAGGATCGCAAAACACATGCTATGTCCTCCAATTTCCGATCCAAATAAAGGCATTTATTATCATTTTCAATCACAGGAATGTAATAGAAGAAGGGATCCAAGGAGACAGCAATGACACGCGCCGGTACAAATATTTTATTCCACTTCTGAAGAAATGATCCTTGCAGATCAAGAATTTTCTTTCGAGATCCCACATCTTTGGCCCAAAACCTATTCAACGAGAATGATTTCAGTGCTTCTGTAAATCTTTTAGTTCTTTTAGAACCACTTTCGAACCCTCTGTGGAATTTGTCTACAACGAAGTACAACGTTGATATAAGTGTGGCTGGTTGTGCTCCATCTTAGGTAGGAGATTTTCCGCCTGAGCATTTTACCGATTTCCAATCTTGAAACCTGAAAATAAATTAAGAATCTGGACATAATAGTGCATCAGAAGTAAAGTGTTACGTCAAAGTGTTGCAGAGCAGCAGAACTAATAAGAACCAAATGCATAGAAAAATTTCAAAACCTGGTTGGAGGGCAATAATTTTCCATTAGATAGACAAGATACAGTAAATTTAGCAAAGGAGCTCATGCATAAAAATGCTTGTTCAAATCATTTTTTTTAAAAAAGAACCTCCTAGAATATCACAAAATTTCCACCAATTACCCAATAGTGATTGATCATTCTCCAAAATATTAAGAAACAATACCCGTGTCAAAGACAAGAGGGAAGGTCTGGGTTTCCAAAACGTTACAAGTGAGAAATTTCTTATGCATGAACCTTGTGAAACCCTTGCTGCCTCAAATTGACTCGATGAAATGCAAGTCGTAAGGGCCATGGAGAACTGACCTCACAAACTTCTCTTGCTGAAAATTCATCACTTCAGCTCACATGAGAAACAAGTGAAGAGATATCAACTACTGAACTATTGACAAAACAAGGAATTCATGAAAAATCTTCTTTTGATTGAGTTGGTCGAGATAAAGCCCAGGAGGGTAATCATTAAAACCGACTGATTATGTTGTCTCTATAACTGAATCATAACTTGTAAATGTAAATAAGCCACTTTTTCAGTCAGCAGTTAAACATGTAAGGGAAATTGTACTTATCAGATGCAAGTCAAGTAAGAAATTATGGCAAAAAGGGGATACCATAACAAAACTCTAAAAATAGACGGCATCTTAAACATAACTTCCGAAGGACCGGATTAAAACTGAGGCATATCCATTTCAACTCGTGTCTCTTATTTCAAGAACTGATGATATTAAATTACAACCAAACAAGACCAAAGTCTGAATTAAACAATTCTCAAAATGAGAATAAAATCTTAATGACAAAAATGAAGGAAATTACAATCAAGAAATGCCTTAAAATGATATTATTGTCAAGTTACAACCAAACAAAACCAGAAATTCCAAATTTCAAGTTGTTGAATGAAACTATAAATAGACTTCAACGAACACATTTCTCCATACCTTACAGAAAAAGTAACTAAAAAACAATTGAAAAGTTTTCCAAATTAATTAAAAATTGCAAATCCAACCATAAAACTACGATTCTTCAAAAATTCAAACTCCAGATCAACTTAAAATAAAATCACAACTCACCATTCTTTGAAAATGCGAGTAAGAAAAGTCGATTGCAGGTAAAAATAATAATAATAATAGTAATAATCCAAAACAAACAAGACTGTAAAAGTAAAGAACAAAAAAAAATGTTAAAACTTTCCAAAATAATTAAAACGATAAAAAATTTAACAATATAAAAAGTGTCGAGATCGATGGACCAATAATGCGGAATTGAGATTTAATGAATACAACTTGTTGTAATTGAAGTAATTAACAAGATCACGAAAAGCCACGAACAAGATTAAAGTAAAGAAATAAAAGAAATGGCAGAGGAATGATGTTATTTTATTCGATCAATGAAAGGAGAGAATTACAGCACTAATGGCTTTAAACAATACTGAAAGAGGAGCGCTGTATTTATAGTATAAAATCTAGCCCTAAAAGAGTCCCAAAAGAAGTAAGAAATCTAATGCAATTTAGACTCCTATTTGAGTCACACTTCTAACAATCTCCACTTTGACTCAAATTCCGGTGCAACGAACGAAGCTCCAAAATTTCTCCACCTTGAGAAATAATCCGTCTGCATCAGAATGAACTGACCAATCTCCTCAACACAATAACAAAACTCTCCACGATAACACGTTCCCCCGCCCGGCGTCCACAAGCGACACCCGAACCCAAATCCGGGTTCCCAAAATTTCTCTTGGAATTAACAATCACTGCACAGGGTCGAAGCACACCCTGTAGCAGAAATCACACCAAATGCACAATCAGAAGGTCCCTTGCCAATATTGTCACCTTCAATAATTTCTAAAGCATTACAGACATCTCCAAAACTGTACCTATGCTCCATGAGTCCATTGGCATTACAAGAACATAGTGTACCCGCTAAAATTGATGGCAAAGCGGAATCACCAACACTCCCTTGAGCAAAGTTCTTAATAAACCCAGAGCCAAATCCGAGAGGTACTGTACCAAATTGAATGTCCACCACGGTACTGAACTTGTCCAAATATCTCTGAACTGGTTCTGCACTCCCCTGCAAGATGTACAACTGGGATTTCCTCCGTCCCTCCAATACAACCCGAACACCTCTTCGAACCTTCAAGACTCCACCTCTACTTGAAAATTTGTACCCTTTTTCATCCAAAGTACTCAGTGATATGAGATTCTTTATCAAGTCTGGAACATGGCAAACCTGATCAAGTGTCCTCACTGTTCCATCCTGTAGCCTCAATCTGACCCGACCGATTCCTGCAACCTGACAAGATTGGTTATTTCTCACGACAACTCCACCTTGCTTCACCATCTCATATGTTTGAAATAAAGCCATATTCGGACACATATGATACGAACAAGCAGGATCCACTCCTCAAGTTTGGATTCCCCGTCAGATACAGCCAACATCACATCTCCATCATCACAAAAATTTTCAGCAATATTAGTCTCGTTCGAATTACTTGATTGCCCCACATGATTTGCATATAATTCACCTTTACCTTGCAACTTATCGCAATCTTTCTTGATGTGTCCTTTCCTCTTGCAGTAATAACAATACAC